ATCTAATAGAATGGCGGAACAGGTTCAAGGGGTTGAATGGCTTCCTCTTATTCCTGTGTGTGTGTGTGTGTGTGTGTGTGTCGGGGAGGGAGAGAGATAAAGCATCTTTATGTAAAGAGGCACAAACACGCACCGGGGGGGGGGGAAGGATTTTAGTCTAAACTCCCAAATCCTTTGAGTCTATAAACCAGCTTATCTTCCCCCTTATTTGCCAACCGTCCTGTTTATTTATTGATTCATTCCCAGCAAATACATGACGTGAGCATTCAGAGAAGTCACATCCTGTTGGTCCAACTTACTTCCTCCCCACCTCAGGGTCCTTCAGTCAGGAAACCAATCTCCTCATCTCCCCCCATGCACCCCCTCCCATCCCTTCCCCTAGGAACAGGAGAAGGCCATTCAGCCTCTCAAGCCTGTTCTTCAATTTGTCTCCGCTAACGGCTTTTCCTCCACCCCCCGCACTGTCTCGTGCGGTGTCCCTCAGGGCTCTGTCCTCGGTCCCCTCCTCTTCACCCTCTATACACTCCCCCTGTGGTGACATCATCCGCAGACATGGGGTTCACTCCCACATGTATGCGGATGACACCCAACTCTACCTTTCCTCCTCTACCCTCAACTCCACGACCCCCGATGTCCTGACAGCTGTCTGTCCGACATCGAGTCTTGGACGAGAGACAACTTTCTTCAGCTCAACGTACGCAAAACTGAGGCCCTCCTGATTGGCTCACGTCAGCGCCTCCGCACCTCAGGCGCCGACACCATCAGCTCCGCACTCTCCACCTCTCAAAGCCATCAGGAACCTCGGGGTTCCCTCGACCCTGAGCCGTCCTTTCTCCCTCATATCCGCACCACAACCGGCACCGCCTTCCATCACCTCCGGAACATCGCCAGACTACGGCATTACCTCACCCCTCACCCTCACCCCTCACCCCTCACGCGGCTGAAACTCTGGTCCACACCTTTATCACCTCAAGGCTGGACTATGGGAACTCTCTCCTCGTCGGCCTTCCCGGCCCTCCCTCCACACTGCAGGTCATCCAGAACCCTGCAGCTCGTGTACTGTCCCGCACCAGACACCGCGACCACATCACTCCCACCCTCACCCTCAGCCTCGCCCTCACTCCCACCCTCACCCTCGCCCTCGCCCTCACCCTCGCCCTCGCTCGCCTCCACTGGCTCCCCATCCCCCAGAGGATTGAGTTCAAGATCCTCATCCCCACCTACAAGGCCATTCACGGCCTCGCTCCCTCCTACCTCTCTAACCTACTATCCCCCCACGTACCCCCCCGTACCCTCCGTTCCTCTGGCTCTGGTCTGCTCCACATCCCCCGCCCCAACCGCCCTACCATTGGTGGCCTTCAGCCTCTCAGCCCCGAAGCTCTGGAACTCCATCCCCAGTCCCTTTCCTCCTTCAAGGCCGGTCTCAAGACCTTTCTCTTTGACTGTGCCTTCAGCTCCACTCTCGACTCTCTACCCCCTCCTCACCCCCTCCCTTCCCTCCCCTCACCCTGACCATCTCCCCCCTCCTCGCTCCCTCCCTTCCCTCCCTTCCCGCCCCTCACCCTGACCATCTCCCCCCTCCTCGCTCCCTCCCTTCCCTCCCCTCACCCTGACCATCCCCCCCCCTCCTCGCTCCCTCCCTTCCCTCCCCTCACCCTGACCATTTCCCCCCCCAATGCTCGGGTCCTGACCCAACTTTCCAGCGCCTTGGGACGTCCTCCCGACGTGAAAGGCGCTCAATAAATGCAATCTTGTTGTTGTTGTTGTTGTTGTTCTGCCATTCCATGCCTTTTTTTCTTGGAGTGATTATTACTCCACCGGAAAGTGATTCACCAATAATAATAATAATAATCCTGGGATTTGATACAGTGCCTCATCAAGTCTCAAAGTACTTCACGGAATATACTGTAAAGTGTAGTGACTGTACATTTTGTGGGTGAAACGCAGCTGCTAATTGCACAGCAGCATCTCACAAACGGTCATGGATTGAGCGACCACATTATTATTATTTTTTGGGAGGGGTTATTACCCCCAGGAAAGCGATCCGCCAATCGACTAACAAGTGGGTTCCTATTTACCTCTGGTAAACAGACAGGTCCTCTCGCTCGCTCGCGAGGCGAGGGCTCCAACCACTGAGCTACAGGACGCCACAAATTATTATTATTATTGTCACAAGCATCTCGGAGATGAAAGTGTCCGTGTGTCTGTCTGTCTGTTGCCGTTGGTATTTATAGATCTGTTCTGAACTACAGGAAGTGACAACTTGACAAAAGGTCGCATGGGGTTGTGGCCCAGACTTGCGTTACCCTGGTGATGTTAACGTGAGGGTGTGTTGTCTCTTCCAAACACTCACCAACGAGATTTATGGGTCTCACCATGGGGGCAGGATGTGATTTGTTTTTTGCCCGGTCGGGTGTCTCTGACACACTCGGAAACCCATCTCCGTGCTTTAGAGTCTCCAAACCCAACTGAGAATTCCAGGTCAGGGTTAGAGACACAG